GATATGCTGAACATTTCTTTCATTATTGTTGTCATTTCTTTTCTCATCTGAGACATTATTTCTGATCTGATGTCTTCTATGGCCTGATGGAGTTGTTTTTTTACTTCAATTGCTATCATTTCAGAAATTTCAGGTATATGACTGTGTTGATGCCTCCTGGACTTGTTTTGGGTGGTGTGGAGGTCTGGGATTGCATTTTGCTCCTTCATTTTGTCATTTTTGAAGAACCAGAGACTCCCTGTAGTGCAGTCTCACTGTCCTGATTGTGTGTGAGTGGCAGGGTGAGAGTCTGAAGATCCCCAGTGCTCAGTGTAGCTCCTGTGCTGGTGAGTGGTGGTAAGGTGGGGTCCCAGATGCTCCCGACCTTTCTTGCATTCAGTTGGCTCCCAGGAGTGTGTAGGAAGGGCAGGGAATGCTCGCAGGTGTTCCTGAGACTATCTGGGGTTCGGCCCAGCTTCCACAAGAGTAGAGGGGGATGCAGGTCAAGTTCACTGAGGCCTCAGATATTGCCCAGGACAGAGCCTGCTTACCACACAGGCTTCCCAAAGATGTCTGGGGTTCAGCCCAGCCTGGGCCAACACACTATGGGTGTGGCGGGTAGCCACTGAGGCCCCAGATGGTGCCCGAGGTTTCGCCTGCCTTGCACACTGGTCAGGGAGGCAGATCCCAGACACACTGGGCATCCTGAAGATGTCTGGGTTTCAGCCCAGCCCAGGCCAACACACTATCCATTTCACCCATGAAGGAAAAATGTCAGGTCTGAAGCTGAGGCTCAGAGAGTGGTAAGATAACTTGTTGGTATGAAGATGCAGACTTTGTCATTCCCCTCATAGGTGTCTTCACTTGTACCTACCCAGTGCCATCATTAAGTCAATGAGGATAATAAAATAGACACTCTTCACGAAACCTTTTAATGAGAGCTTACCAATGAGCCAAAGAAATAATGGCCATATCCAGAGCTGGTTTCTATGCTGAGGCCAGTCAAGATGCTCCATTGAAGGCTCACTGGTAGTAAACAACCTATAGTTGACCTTCCTCTGTCTTCCTGACTAAAGACACAGGACTTGCCAAGACCACACACTGCATCGCCCACTTGAGCGCAGGCTGGGCAGATCATTATCTCTCAGACCGGGGAGTCCTGTCCCTGCTTGCTTCTCTAAGTGGCAGAGTCAGAAAACCTATTTTTATTTTCATTTTGTGGATAACGGAACTGAAATGGGCTTACTGAAGCAAATTACTTCTTTCAAAGCTGTGGAAGATTATAAGAAATGTAAGGTAATTTTTACACTCAAAAGCAAGATTGAAAAAAAATTGCTTCTCAGGTCAAATGTCTGCCTATCATTCATTGTATTTGGGTGTGAGACCACTCACATCTTTTAAGAGGTTATAAGTATCCTTGTTGGAAAACTGGGTGCAGTTTGTCCTGAAACAACATATTGTCCTACCTCATAGGTTGGTAAAAAAATCCCTGACCTATGCCATATTTCTGTTCATTTCTCAGGGATAGAGGAAGGAAATCATGGATAACTTCTCCACCTCACTGTTACAGCTACAATCTTCCCAGCAGTGCCTTTCTTTCTCAGGGCCTTTCCTGATGGTCCAGCAAAAGCTGTTGTGCCAGTGGCACACTGTAAACCATAGTAGAGTATTATAAAACTGCTTATGTCTGTTTGTCTCAGGATTACAGTAGAGGCTGTAACTTTAGGGTAGAAACTAACAATAAGAAGAACAAATGCAGAACAACTAAACAAGAAGGATGTTTATCCATCAACTTGTTAGGCTAAAAATTAAACTTTTTGTATCACTAAGGGAATCTTTACTGTTCTTGTAACTACTTAATATCTTCCTGCCTTTCTCTTCTCTGAATCTATGAGGAGAGCATGTAGGAAGAGCAATAGGAATTTTAAAATACCAGTTTGGGAGTCCTGTATGATGACAAAAGGGAATCAAGAATGTACTTTGGACTTACTGACCTTACAGTGCTTGGTGTGGCAGGCAAGGTTGTACAAACATAATCCACTGCAAGACATAAGATTATGTTGTGGGAGTAACTGTGCTGGAAATAAAATTCAAGACAAGCACATGAGAATTATTGGTCCTGTCTACTGCAATGGGCTATGATATAAACAAATTTCATGTTGTCCACATGATGCAATATAAGATAGCTTCTGGCACAGTTGGTACTTGAAGGTAGTGACTGTTAAGGATTGGGCAGAAAAATAGATCATAGATGAGGTAACACACGGTGGCTTCCAGGTGGTTGTAATAAGGAATATTAAAAATCATCTTTCTGTTTGAATTGTATTTGTTGTTTACATATGAAGGAGGTAAAGCAAGGGAAAATAGAGAAATAAATTCTTTCTGCCATAGGTTGTTTCTTCTTGAGCATTAGCAGTAGAATGGGATAAATTTCTATCATTTACTGGGAGTGGAATGAACTGGTAAGTCAATGACCTGGCAAAGGATTGAGCTGACTTACATTAGGGGGATGATGAATCTGTGTAGGTGCTGCCTGGGAAACTGAGTTGAGAAATAAATTCTTAGGAATCACTTCCAGTTAGGTCCACAGACATTTAGCAGAAAGGGTGGGGCAAATCAATCCTGTTATTTTAGTACAGAATGATTAGGACAAATCTTGGAAGGTTCCTAGACAAAAAAGAACTTTTTTGGTGATACATTTATTTAAAGCTGGAATAAATTAAGGAAAAAAGTGACCTCACTTTTGAGGTTTGTGTTTTGCAATTTATAAACTGATTTGGGGAGCAATGATAATTTGTTTAAATAATCATTTAACTGAGAATTATAAGGTCAAATGATGCCATTTTCTTTATTTCACATTGTCTTGTTTTTTTAGACCAGCCAAAAATATTTAAGTTCCTGTGTACATGGAAACATTTGTCTATAGGGTAGTGTAACCATTGTGATTCTGTGTGTGTGTGCATGTGTGTGTGACATCTAAGTATGTAAATGAGGGAACTTTTATTAGGTGCCTAGAATCAAACTTAAAGTAAGTGTTTTTCTGACTCAACTGGTGCTCAAAGGAGCAGTAAAAGCTAAATAGTACTGAATTGTAGTCCTGTTCAGAAACAAATGTGATGGGTAATCATTTTCATTGTGACTTTCAAAAGTGCTCAATCCAGGAGGAGGCAAGTCCTCAAGATGAGAACAGAGTGCCTGTGCGACTCCCTGCCGTGGAGGGTGACATCTCCAACTCGATGTGACCAGTACCGCAGGCAGGGGCCAGCTCTGTCCATCCTTGTTTTATGGACTGTGGGATGCACTACCTGAGCTTTGAGGGGCAGCTGCTAAAAAGATAAAATGGTTGAGTCCTTCAAAGGGAGGATACAGTGGGGCAAATCCTTGGGTTTGAAAATACCCACAGGAAACACAAATCAACTTTTTTGGAAACAAGTTTATCATCTCTTAAAATCCACACATTGAGAGTTTACTATGTGCCCCAGGTATAAGTTAAATGAAAACATGCTGCTTCACATAATAGGAGAGGACTCATATCTACACGTACTCTGAGAAGCACAGCATTTTCTGTTTGAAAGAGCCATGGCAAGAAAACTGTATGCTTGGAGAAGTATGCAGTTCAATAAAAAGTAGGACCCCAAAATTTTAGGGCATACCAATGTGAGGGAAATGCTAAAATACCAGGGCAGCCATCCTGGTAGAAATTCTGGGAAGAAATTTCTGCTTTGGATACAGGCTGAGCTATACCTCTG